CACACGTTGCAAATGCGTTATCTTTTGACCTTACATGCAAATTCCTTTATTACACTCTATACAACATTGCACACGTTTCAAAACAGTTATCATGTAGACTCCGCAAAACCTAATTTTAACGTTGTCTACAAGTCTGGAATATTGCAGCTCGCAATGAAATAATAGTACAGGATTTAACATCTAAAACAAACTCAATATATCGCTATCTATAAAAGGCAGGATGTGTGTGTGTGTGTGTGTGTGTGTGTGTGTGTGTGTGTGTGTGTGTAACGAATGCACAGCCGCAATTTTCGACGGATTTGCACCAAAATTTACATGCACGTGCTCCAAATTAGTGAAAAGGTCAAGACTGACTTTGCATTTCCCAACTCCCATCAATAGTGGAAATAATCGATTTTTTCATGCTTCTACGGCAGTTTTAATGTAATTTGCGGCCATTTTGTACTGGCCAGAGTGAGAGCCTATAGCTGGCTGCCACGAATAGGCAGGGAGATTCTATTGGCCAGCGTGAGAGCCAACAGCTGACTGACACGAAGGTTAGCTAGCATGCTAGCATGCAAAAAAATCGATAGCCGCATTTGTCACAAATGGGGAAAAAATTAAATCTGCATGGCACTTTACTCCAATTGGCTCATTCGCTTGCTTAAACTCAATGATGATTCTGATTCCACAGAACTGGGTTGGGTGTGAAAAAGTATTTGTTGTTAACATTCTTTTTTCATTTGGTTTTTCCTGTTACGAGTCCTTTTTTATAGCTGATCGTTTTGTGTTCATTTTGTTTAGTTCTTTTTTCGTAACAGATTTAATGTTTAGTAAAGAGCTTAGAAAAAATTCGCAGTGTGAGATAGGCAAGAAGTAAGGCATGTAGCAACATGAGCACGGCAAAGGGCACTCCTTTAAAGGCAAGGAAGGGCAAAAATAATTTAAGTCAAGTGATAGCCATTGCTGTATGAGTCGTACGATTTTTGAATCAAGCACAGGCAACGCCGGGCCATGCTGCTAGTACTCAGTATATTCCAAGTAGAATTAAATTAATTTTAACAAATGGATTGAATCTCAATCGTCAGATTAACTGTCATCATTTTTTAGTGAGATGTTTTGCTGATTTGGTTTGAACGCGTTTCTTTGCTATCTAGCATCGTTTCTACACCTGACGTCATTGTTTTCAATTCTGTCGCAGGTCTTTCATGATGGATTACGAGGGTGGTCTGAAAAGTTCATAGGCTAACGATGAAAGAAAGTAGACCTGTGAAACCTTACATGCATTAATTTCAACTCATTAATAACTTCATTTTATCTTTGCATATAAACTGACATCTGCCTGTTCAAGTAAGACTTTCAATGTGACTAGCGACCTCTGTAGAAAATGGACAAAATTTTGTCATAAATATTATAATAAATAGTGTTTATTGTTTTTGTTTTCAATTCTCAAGAACAAAGAAAATAAATTCACTTTCATCGGATATTTAGGTTTTATTCCAATACTAATCACCACTTTTTAAAACAATAAATATTACCGAAGAGTGGAGGTGGTTAAAAAAAAAGCGGTGCCATGGGAAAAAGAGTCCCTTTTGACACGACGTTTTATTGCGGGCACGTTTATCCATGTTTGCCAAAATTGCAATTCTAATAATGAAATCTGAATTAAGTTGTAAATATATTTTAGTTTTATTAATTCAGTTATATTACCTCCATCTCTAAATAATATTAAAATGAAAATCAAATTTTCATAAATATGGTCAAAAAGGAGGCATGGTGGAGTAATGGATAGCGGCATGGATTGAGGAATCGGAGAGCCGAGTTCGAATTCCAGTCGAATCCTTTACATTCACTTACGTGCTAATACCCTTTGGAAAGGTGTGAATCATCTTCTCCCTCCATCTATGGGTAAATAGCAGGACAGACTGGGTTCTATAGCCTTGGATGGCAACTGGTTTAGAAGAAGAAGAAGGAAAAACTCTGAATTCAAAACCTGCGGAGGGTCGTTTGTTGACCTTGTGGTACCAATGCACCAGGTCTCTGTATTCGGCCCTTCACAAAGCCTTCACCACTATAATCAAATCTCATGTGCTGTTGTCGGGCTGAAGCCTATACATACGGGTTTGGGGACCGCTTGTGAATTCCAAATTCCCCGGGTGAATGCAGTTACAAGTAGTAGTAGTAGTACAAGTAGTAGTATTGTCAAAATATTCTCAGTTTCCGTGCGGTTTCTCAAATGTTTCACATGATTCCATATTTACATACGTGTACGCAATAAAATAACGTTTATAAATATAATAGAAATAATGTCGGATATTAAAAAATCCTTTGAAGAAAAGTTACTGTTTCGGGTACGAGAAAAAATGTGAATTCCTTTTTTTTGGTTATGCAAACCTTGCTCTGCCAACGCGCCCAGCTTAGTCGGTTTTCCTATTGAAAAAAAAAGGAGACAGAATCTTTCTTTGGAAGGACATCTAAATCTCGTTCGCTTGTTTATTAAATTTACTGTTTAATAAAATATTGAAGTATGGATCGCATCTAAAACACGTGTACCAACTGAAAAATATCTTTATAGTAATAAAAATTATATATACATGTGGGTGTATGTGTGCGTGTATGTATGTGTGTGAAACCATTAAAATTCCTTGACACCAAAAATAAAAATGACACCGTTCCACTCCAAGTGCAATTTTGAATTAACCTACCGATAAGACTGGGAGGATGTTTTCAGTCTGACAACATAATATTTATGATAAAAGTATACTTACGCTTAAGCAATCAAGCATTCTGTTTTATTTGAAGTCTTGTCAACATCAGCCAAGCATAGCAGAAGTGAACCTTGTCCCATTCAATATCAAAGCAGGTAGGCATAAATAAATTTAGTCACTGCCGATGTGTTCTTTCTTTTGATTCGTGCTAATTTTTTTTTTTTTTTTGTTCTGCTGCTTTAGGTTTCTTTACTGCATTTTCTAATGCCAATGTTCACGCAATACAAAGGCCCAAGAGCCACTCAAAGCATAGAGTTGTGTGATATAAATGCAAGTGATGGAATTAGAAAGTGAAGACTATGGTGGTTAGATAACGATTGACCCTAGATTTGAAGCGGTTAAGATTATAGTGTTCGGAAATCTATTCCACGATGTCGCGGTTCTTGGGGATTGGCTGCCTGAGTGAAATATCCTTCGTTCCAATGAAATATCTAAAGCCTGTGGGCGTAGCATTATGGGTCTTGGCTGTAAAAAGCTGAATCGGTGGCACTAAAGAATGAAGCTCGTCTTAACATTTTGTTATGTTTACCTTAAGTAACTTGTATTTTTTAGTTTGTATATTTTTTTTTGTTTTGTTTTACCAGCGTGAACGGGAATGTGTGGTGAATGTTTTATTTTGTTTATTGTCTTTTCTATTATCCCTTTGTAATTCATATACGTTGTTATAGAATTGTGGGGATACAAAAAATATTTATCTCCCTTTGGTGGAAATAAGTCACGTGGGTCACATGACAGTCGCTTTGTGACGTCACACCATACAGTTTCGAAAGCGTCAGTCAATTTCAGTTTGTTTACAGCAGCCAAACCTAAAGGTTGCTTTCTTTAACCCATGATTCTGGCTCTCCGGCAGCTTACAAGACCATGATGCTGTTTCCCTTTGAGAATATATAGATATAGAAAGAATCTCCAGCTCATAGTCCTCAATTTGAGAAAACCCAATACTCACTGTTTCACCGTTTGTGGAATATGTCCTCGGCTGGGATATAGTAGAAGAATACGACCCGTTTGAATATGGGGTCCCTAAATATGGCTTCTCCAGACAAAGGAGTATCTTCATATTATATGTAAAAACCTTACTTTTGTTTCTCCTTACACTCTGTTTGCTGTGTAGATATATTGTTTTATATATATATATATTTATATATATATATATATATATATATATATATATATATATATATATATATATATATATATATGATCTAAGGAATCTGAGAGCCGAGTTCGAAGTCCAGTCGAATCCATTACATTCACTCACGTGCTAATACCCTTGGGAAAGGTGTGAATCCTCTTCTTCTCCCTCCAGCTATAGGTAAATAGCAGGAAAGACTGGGTTCTATAGCCTTGGATGGCAACTGGTCTAGGAGAAGGACAACTCTGAATTCAAAACCTGCGGAGGGTCGTTTGGGGACCTTGTGGCACGTAGTGCACCAAGTCTCTGTATTCGGCCCTTCAAAAAGTGTGGATGGTCCTGCACGAGGCCTTCACCACTATAATCAGTTTTCATGTGCTGTTGTCGGACTCTCGGTTTCCTGGGAACTGATCTGCTTGACCCTCATACGTCGAATTCGAGAATATATATATATATATATATATATGAGAACAACGCATGTTTGTCGTTTCTTTTCCTTTCAGTCATTCCGTTGTTATTATATCACGGATCTAATAATGCCCATCATAGTGGGGGATACAAATGGGAGAATAAATCCTTCTATTTTATGTCTGATTATGCTTGTCAGGCCCATCTCAAAATTATCTAACCCCGTTTTGTTTTGAGCCTTTGTCAAAATTGTCTTCTCCCTTCTGTAATGACGGGCATTATATTAAGTCCTCCTCAAAATGATCTACTCTCTTCTATTGTGACTATTTATCTCCTTAAAATCTTATAGGAAAATGAGCAATTTTGTCTCCTTGTCCAGTGTATACATGATGCACCCAGCATGCATTCTGTTCGAGCGGGCATATTTATAAATATAATACCGTATTTAAAGTCACACTTTTACGTAAAAATAAAGATGCATTAATGAGAAAAATGTGAAATCAATTAGATATGGGCACAGTTGCACGAATATATAGGTTAATCCTAAGGTTGAAGCCTCTCTTTCGAATTTAAACAACGTAGAGACTAGTCAGTAATAGAATTGGTAAGGCCGGTGCGTACTACCCCCGAACCGAGGAGGGGGAAACCTGATGGAAGTGGATATGTGTCATGCACACACATGAATGTGTATGTATGACATATATGTCACGTACTTACGGCCATATCACAGTGAAAAACTGGTTCTCGTCCGACCACCGAAGTTAAGCAATACAAAGCCTGGTCAGTACTCAGATGGGTGACTGTTTGGGAATATCTACTGTAAGCTTCGTGGCAGGCCTAGCAAGCTGGTTATTGATACAATCTCGCTACTTCTACTGAGCGAATACCTTGATACGTGCACGTGTTCCTGAAGTGGCAGGTCGCAAGACCAACTTGGGGTTGGGTGGGTAAGTGAATCGTAAATTTGATTACTAAGTAGCTAAAGAATAAGTGTTAGTCGAATTCAAAGAAGAACATGGGCTTTAAGCGGCATCAGTGAACCAGTCAGTTTTTGGCAGTTGTTTTCAGACTTGTATGGTAATCTGTGGAGATCACCTGGCACGCACAAATACATATAAATTTATTTTCCTACTGAGAAGGTATTGAGAAACGATTGAGAAAATGATAATAAATTTCGTGTGTGTGCGCGCGCACGCGCGTAGTAGCAAAAGCCATCAATACTTATTTCGCAATAAGGCGGCTGCTGATGACATGCAACAAAAAGGCAACAATTTTATTCGACATAGTTATGTGCCAACCTATTTGCCATTGTTGTGTTTTGATTACCACATTCCAAGCTGCCAACATATTCGCCATTTTTATGTTTTGATTACCCCATTCCAAGCTACCTTTCTATTCGCCATTGTTATGTGTTTTGATTACCCCGTTCCAAGCTGCCAACCTATTCGCCATTGTTATATATTTTGATTACCCCGTTCCATGGTGCCATCGTATTTGCCATTGTTATCTGTTTTGATTACTCCATTCCAAGCTACCTTTCTGTTCGCTATTATTATATTTAATTACACCGTTCCAAGGTTCAATCCTATACGCCATTGTTTTCTGTAAGTTTTGTATGACCCACACCAAGATTAGATCGATAGATTAATAATGAGCAGACTGAGATAGATAGATAGATAGATAGATAGATAGATAGATAGATAGATAGATAGATAGATAGATATGGAACAGGATGAGATAGATAGATAGATAGATAGATAGATATGGAACAGGATGAGATAGATAGATAGATAGATAGATATGGAACAGGATGAGATAGATAGATAGATAGATAGATATGGAACAGGATGAGATAGATAGATAGATAGATAGATAGATAGATAGATAGATAGATAGATAGATAGATAGATCAGTGCATAAACTTACTACTCAGCAAATATCACCCTCCTCACTATTTCCCTAAACTTTACAGATATGATAACGAATAACGTGTGGAACAAACTTCATTTTGGTTATCTACGCTTCAACGTAATGCATCCTGTTAAGTTTCACAAATTAACATATGACCTGTGCATCTTCTGAGGCTATATTTGATTACCTTACAAACTATTTACAAGGCCAGTTCGATAAGGATAGAGCTCTTTTTGGGTACACAACAGTTCTACGCCATTGCCTCATATGCATCTATAGAATGTATATCATGACATGCAAGACATAACTTGAGCAATTTTACAATTCTTTCATAATCATTTCACCCCAAACAAGGCAATAAAGCCACTAAGATGCAATAATTTACTCAGCGTTAAAACTACAAGGAAAAGAAACATTATTACGGTGAGAGAAATTTTGAAAGACCAAAGCTGACTGGGAAGCAAGAAGCTTGCAAAAAATTTCTTAAGTTGAGAAGTACGATAGAAAAAAACTCTCAACATAGAACTTACGGTTACATCTAGTCAATTCAACTGTAAAATAATGAGACCTAGCCGCCAATCTAGTACTGTGTTTACATTCATAAAATCTATATATCATAGAGGACAGTGATATTTATTTTGTAAATATGCAAAAATCTGGCACTAGGCCAAAAGTGGGGAAGGGGAAGGCTGCTATTTTCTGTCTTATAACCACAACTACTGAAGCAAACACACCAGAGCATTCCTTACACCAAAACAACACATTCTTACTTACCAATCTTACTACATCCAATATGATAACACAAAGTCTCTATGAAGTCCTAACTAGTCCCCATGTGTACAATTTATGTCTGTTGGCGGAGGGAAAAAAAAACAAAAAATTAAATACATCTAACCCCAATAAGGAAAGTTCATCAGAAAAAATTATCATGAAAAAATTTATAGAAGCAGGAAGCTACGTTACGGCAGCGAAAAAGCGACTGAAGCCGAGATGCCAGATTAGAACCAATAACATTGCCGTTTCCTCTTTGGATTTTATCAAGAATTTGTAAATAAACAGCAGAAGCACCGTACCGTATGTAGCAGCAATATTCACTGCAAGGACGAATGGTAGACTTATAAATGTATAAGATTGATTCTGACAAGAAACATTGTCTAGCACGACACAGTGAACTAACTTTCCTAGCCGCAGACCTAGCAATTGATTCAATATAATCTTCCCAATTCGTGTCAGCTGAAAACTTTAGTTCGAGAAGTCGGTACATATTCTTCCCTTATTTTACCAAGTGTGTGTGTTTTTTTTTTAAGTACAAAGAAATTTAATATCTCATTTTGAAAAATTACTACATATGACATGCCAAAACATCTATGGAAAAGAAACGAGTCATATAGCGATATGTTATATATCATTTAATGTTGATTACGGTATCTAATTTTCATCCAACAACTGCTTCGGCATTTGTGTGCCAAACGTCAAAAAACAAAAAAAAAACTACTCTCTGTGTCTAGTAAGTTGTTTTTTACCTCGTTGATTTGTGTCGGTCCGATCGTTAGAGTGAAAACTATTTTGCCGACTAACTCAAGCTTAACAGCTATGTAGAGGTTGAAACATGCGCATTTACTGTTGTTCGAACCTAAGTGAAACCATCATTTTGAATACTAATTTTCAAAGTTAACAAACTCTCGCTGTTCGGAAGATTGTCTCAGTGCACTCTCAAAGCAAAGAACTCTTACCTGTCTTATAACAATAACACTATTCCTATGTCAATTCTTCGCATAAAATATCGCTAACATTGCGTCATTGTAAATTAATATTTGAAATACAAGTACTGGAACTAATATTCGCTCACTTGTTTCTGCTGCTTTTTAAATAAAATACTTTAGCTTATATATTCTTCCCTCATTGAACAAAAAATTCATTTGAGGTGTCGGATCTAGAGCGCTTTATCCAATTCGACTAATAAACCCATCAGGATTTTTCTTTATTCAACGCTGTATTGTTGAATAACTAATACTGCGTTTTATGGAGTTTATTTTTACTCGTTTTTTTTTTCATCCATCTTTATTCTACGCCGCAGTTTTGTCTAACTAACGTCTTTTTTCTACTGATTTTATTTTACCTTGCGATCTTGACTAGATACTACTTTTTAATCGTTTCGCCCAGGCAAGGCGATGAAGCCACTCAGACATAAGAGTGGGAAAAGAAACTGAGAAAATGCTATTGAAGGGGAAGGACAATAAAGGGACTGGTACCAAAGAAGAAACCTCATGAAAATATTTACTCATAGAAAAGCGCAGGGAAGGTATAGTACAGAAATTGGAAAGTGACTGAAGTCGAGATATCAGATCAGGACTGATAAAATTGCAGATTCTAAAGATTTTGTATTATTAGAAATAAATCTTTAAATTGTGTGGAAATTCTGTTTCTTGTTTTCTTTTACGAGTTTCCTTCTTTTCAGATTTTATTTCACGCTGTATTGTCGACAAGGCAAATAATAGGAATAAGACTTTAAATTATTAGAATATTTTCAGATTTATTTTTATTATTTTCTTTATTTTTTCTTCCGACATTAATTAAACTTACACACGGAATAATATTTGAAATAGTTTGGACATTTTCGCACATATTTTGACTAAGTTATTTTTTCGGTTTTATTTCACGATTCCGCGCTGTATTGTTGATTCGCAAATACTAGGAATAAGCCTTTACTTTCTTTAGATATTTTTCATATTTAATTCTTAAGAACTACACAGGCACTTCGACGTGGTGTAATCGTTAACAATCTTATCTCGCGAGACTATTTACGAGTGAATAGTGAGTTTGATCCTCTCTGGGTTCCCCATATTTTTGGCCACATCTAAGTTACGCTTAAAAAAAGTCACCATTCTTAAGAGCGACGCCTAAATGCGACAGATGTGAACCTTGCTTACGATTACGTCTTCTTTTTTTCCTTTTCCCCTTTTTATAATGTTTCATTTTTTTCCGCTTTTTTTCCTTCTACACTTTTTACTTCTCTTCCTACGACCCGTTCTCTTGTTGGAAGTCTTCTTATTTCTACCATTTTTTTTTTCATTTTTATCCTCTTATTCCTCGCTCTATTTTCTTCTTCTTCCTCTTTCTTCCATGTTCCTCTTTTTACTTTTCCTCCTCTTAAAGGCTTTTATTTCAGCCAATTCACCTATCGATGGAATAAAGTCTCTTTTTCAGCAAGAATAGCGTTTTGTTCGCTAAAGCCGATGGCAGCATCTTATGAAACTTTTTGTTGCGAGCTTCATAATTGATAAAAAAAAAAAAAAAAACCGTCTCTTAAGAATACTTGGATTTATAATCCGAAATATTCTTGGAGTGCACTTTGGTTACTCGAAATTTTATTAAAATTATCCAAACTCTACATTTCCTGATATTTTTTTTATTTTATTTTTTAATGTTTTGTAAAAGATTAACTCGACTATTACTAGGCATGATTATAAACATCCTTGTGTTTTGTTTTGTTTTTTTCATTTTTCTAAAACTTTTCGATGTCCAAATTTACATTGGCAACGGTTATCAGTTTCAAATTTTACTGACTTTGATAATGTGTACGTTTCATTAAAACACAATTAGTGATACTAGCCAAATCCCTGTCTTATTTGATTTGGGAGGAGCCCTACGTTAACAATCCCTCCCGCTGCCAAAATAATAGTTCACTAGCTAAATCCCCGTCTTACGAACATTTCTATTAATAATAATTTTAAAATAATTCAACAGACAATGTTATTTTATTTATGGTGACTGGATGTTTGGTAATTGTCTGAGTCGGATTCCGTCGTACGATAGTGTACGTCTTAAAAATGGCGGGTTTATCACAGTCGGCACATTTTCTCCTTCTTTTGGCTTAGATGAGATTGCATACTATCTGTTCTCAT